AAACGTTAATAACTTTCAGTTATAGTACATTAAATGCATGAACTACTACGATATTTATAAACAGATGCTTGTAATATTCATGAAACTTCCTGAATATTAAGGGGATTTTTTCTGACTCGGTTTTCCCAATTGCATGTAATTTATCTATATTTGTAAACAAACAAAACTCAACTAAAAAAGCAGGCACGTTTAAGTTCAGGTAAGTTTGCTTTTTTGTAGTAGCAGAAGATTCATAAAAATGCTTCATGATCTATAATCCTTCATGATTTTATGCAATGTAAGTTTGTATTCATTTGAAAGTCTATGTTAAGCAATATCTTGATTTAATCTGTAAGAAATCTTTCAATTTTCTGTATGATGTACATTGCCTGAAATCTCAGAAAATCAAATCCATCTTTGCTGCGGTTTATTTTTGTTTTTTGTTTTTGCTTTTGTTTTTGTTTGTTTGTTTGTGTGTGTGTGTGTTTAAGTAAATACATTATTCAGAATACTTTTTCAAGGAAATACTAGAGCTGTTCAGAAATTATTCAGACATTATGTTTATCCTTCTCTTTAATCGACGTCTTCAGGTGAAAATAGGTAAATACGTATAACAATTTCAATTCTACGCAAGGAATATTTAAGAAAATTGATATTTTAAAATGGTATATTAATATGTCGATGGTAGGGGTACCCGGCGCAGTCACAAAATCAGATATTGGAAATTTGTAACTACTACATACTTAGTCGCGGTGAACCCAGGGTATGTGGGAAAGTAATTTAAATTATATACGTAATTTTTTACATTTTATCTCAAATACATTTTGTGTAAATTTCAAAGCATTTTATTTAGTTATAAGGGGATCATGAAAAGATTTCATCAAGCTATAGAAATCTAAATATGACGGCAAAATGAATTTTGGGGTCAAGACTGAGCAGGAAGCATACATTAGCTTTTGTTTAGAGCTGAAAAGTTCTGTCCAAACCAAGATCGATCTACTAAAGCAAATTCATTGCAGACGGAAGTTTTCTAGAGCTTTAGTCTATTATTTGCATAAATGATTTTCTGAAAAATTATTTAGAGCTTGAGTGAAAGCAAAGTAGCTTGGCGGTCATTAGTTACATGTATTACGGACGAACTAATGTCGGCTTTGCAAGATTGAGTCAGAATGATGCGCGCCAGACTGCACGAGAATATTTCATAGAAATTTTTTAAAAAGGGATACAACAACAAAGAAGTTTTTGACCAAAAGTTTCAGATTGAAGAGAATTCGTGTCCTTTGCTTCATAGACTTTTAAATAGTTATGGCAATAAGAGTTAACTCTTTCCAATAATTACAATCTGAGAAAAAAAAATCTAACGATGAAGTGATGTATCACTCTGCAGAGTGCTCCAGATGAATGGACATAATTTTGCTAGGACTTATCTAATGGCGCTATAAAATAGTTTCTTTATTTCTTTATTCTACGGAGTTAAAGTAAATTTCCTAATATTTTCCAAAACTTTTCAATATATCCAAAGTGCAAAAATGGCGTTAAAATTTATGGCGGAATATTTACAAGTATTTGTTTATAAACCCTTTTCCTCCCTTCTGCGATCGTTACTATTGGTTCATAGTTTTTTTAATACTAACAAGCTTTCAAACCGTATATAAACAGGTTATAAAATGAAAACTAAGTAGAAATGATAAGACATCAATGTTTCATGTAAAGCTTAATAAAATTTCTGAAAAGAATTTATTGAAAGGAAAGTATGCTGTTTGAAAAGTGGGACTTGGAAATAAATTATTGCCCACCTGTACTTTTTTTTCATTTTGTTGATTGTTCTTTTGCATAAATAGTGATAGGAAGTATATTTTATATAATTTTGTCTAAAATAAGAAGTTTCTAAAAACATTCAAGCTATCAAGATAAAAGATACAATAGCAGCTGGACATTATTTTTATATTTTTTATTTATCTTTATTCCATTAAAAGTAAAGTACATTGTACAATTGTATAAATGAACCCTAGAGGACACGGCTGTTTGTATGTATGTGTGTTATGTAATGTGATTTTTGAATGGAAAAGTTATTGAGAATTAAAGTATATTTTTATAAAAATGTAAACTCTAGAATATTGGTATTTTTAAATATCATTTATGAAATATGTATTACATTTACTTAATCATGTTCATATGATGTTATTTCTGATGTTCAACTCCGCTTATCATATGCTTGTGTTCCAAATGACAGCTCCCGTTTTTTTCAGAACATGGAATTATTTGGCTAAAATCATTCTGAGTGTACTTGGTGTACACAAGTACTTTGAAGTTGACATTATAAAGATGCTTAATTTTCTGATTGACAATGTCTATGTACTTTCTGGAGACCAACAATCTGTCGGAATTCGAATGCATACCGATCGCGCCCTGTAATTAGTAAATCTATCTTTGTATTCGTATGAAGCAGAATTTATTCAAAATCTTATACATGAGAAGAAAGCATTTGATGTGGCCTTCAACTCGACATTTAGATATTTTGGCTAAGTATTATCAATTAACAGTAGTTACTGCAATTCAAATGTCGACTCGATATTTCCCAGTGAGCTTGAAATAAAGTTGCACATCTGTTTTATATTTGGATATTTTTCTAGAAAAAGACGTTAATGGTAACCTAACAAGCAAACTTGATGATTTAAATTAAATTTTCAGTAGTCAAGTTCCCTTATGTAGTAATTAATATACCCCTATCATCTGCATATGGGGTTTATGTCTCTCAGTTGCTTCCATACGCAAGAACATGCTTTACTTACAAACAATTTCTTAAACGAGACAAGCTATTGACAATCAAGTTGATGAAACAAAAATAACAGTCTTGTTTAAAGTCATCTTTTCGCAAGTTCTATCGTCGACACAATGACCTTGTCAGCAAATACAATCTTTCATTAAGTCACATGTTGACTGACCTTTTTCATACTAATTGTAAGGCCATTATTTACACACTAAATTGTCTACGGATTTTCCGTTTTCCCCGAGCATGACAAGGAGCACACGGCGGATGTGACTGCCCTAACAAAAATATACTATAGTTAACTATAGTTTACTATAGTTAACTATAGTAAATCAATGTGTCAAAGTTATCACTATAGGAAATCAAAGTTTTCAAAGTGATCACTATAGTGTCATAGTAATCACTATAGTAAATCAAAGTTTTGAAAGAGATCACTATAGTAAATCAAAGTTTTCACCACAGTAAATCAAAGTTTTCATAGTTATTACCATATTGTCATAGTGATCACTATAGTGAATCAAAGTTTTCAAAGTTATCACTATCATAAATCAAAGCGTCAAAGTTATCACTATGGTTAACAATAGTTTTCATAGTGTCAAAGTTATCACTATAGCTAACTATAGTTAACTATAGTATTTTTTTTAGGATGGTAAGCAGGGGATGCTCATTCCTCCATGGCACCTGATCCCACCTCTGTTGTTTTAGAGGTCCGTGTTTGCTTTGCTACTGATTTGTATTGTTTGAATGGATTGACACGTGAGCTTGAATACAGTCGTTATTTCAATATTTAAAAAAAAAACAAAGACAAAAAATATGTTCCTCCTACCTTTTTGTAAAAAAAATTAAATTAAATCAAATATATGTTTTAAAAATATGTATACCTATCTGATCCTCACCTATATTCTTTCATGCATTGAAAGAAATGATAGCGACAAAATCTTATTAAAAATATCTTGATATCCAGAAATTATTTTCTGGCAGATCGAGCGATATGTTCAACTAGACCCTCAGCTGTCTTCGTTGGACGATATTCAAAAGACACACATGTGCCTTAAATCATTTACATACACACCTATATACATGTAAGAGTGAAGCAGTTGTACGTAGTGTTTCCAGGGCAACCATGGATGACAAAAGTAAGATATCTTGTTGTGCCCTATAAGAGGTATCTCGAGTACACTTTTGTAGGAGTGGAATTATTTCCTGCAACGATTCATTAGTAGACTTTGACTTCCTGATCTACGCCACTGTATAAAAAACACTATGAGATGAAAAAGAAAGATAAGTTCCTAAAAAGCGAAACCCTATTAAATTCGTGTAATGTTTTGAATAATTGGTTAAATCTCTTAATTCCTATGAAAATATCTCATCGTCCTCATGTTTTTTCTTCTTTTCGGCAAAAATAAAGGTTCTTGACATCGATAGTTGACGCCAACTAGATAAAATAACAAATCTAGAACAAAAAAGTAATATATGATAATGAGTCATGTACACTTTAATTCAAGAAATATGAAATAAAGAGAGAAAGGACATTTTCCAGAAAATGTATGAAATGCACTATTCAATTGCAGTGTTTCGATTCGTAATTTGTGAATTAATTCCAAGTATTGAGTTTTTATCGTCTTCCTTTGAAGACGGTATATAGAGTTGAAGTATTTTACAATCTTTGGACTATACACTTCCTCTCTTTTTTGAATTAATTTCAAATAATTTTCAATTATTTCATTGTTTGAAATGTTGTGCTAGGCAAAGGAGACGATTTTCTCGTGATTTCATATTCGTACGAATTAACAATTTTTCACGATTTTTTTAATTTTAAAAAATCGACAAAAAGAACGAAAGAAAAATTGCAGTAAATGAAATTGATATTTTAATTTTTTGATAGCAACGACATGTATAATCAAGTTTTTCTAAATTTTCAAGTTCTTTTTCTGCATGCAAACATTGAAAAGTGTATGTTTATTTTTTCCTTCTTTTATATGGTAGGGCTAGTGTCTGTAAAAAAGCTGTTAAAGTACAACGCCAAGAACTACAGTACTCAAAAATAAAACAGCCTGATAGGTGTATGTCAGTTTACAGTTATAGTTTAAGGTTGATGCTAAAGACGGCAAAACTTTTTGAAAAAGCTATACTTGTGCAATTCATAATTCAATTTAAACAGGATATGCTAGATTATTTAAAAAGAAATAAAACAAACAATCAAATAATATAATAAATTCAAAGTAAAAACTAATTATTGTTGTTTTGTAGAATGGCTCAAACGAACATAAACGGATACCCTGTTATTGTCAACTACAGCTTTAGAGACCAAGGCAAAGTTCGACGCATCATGGAAATGATGAAAAGCATATTGGGAATGAGGATTTTTGACCCTGACGAAGATTTGGTACCTGGAGAGCCAATAGTGAGAAAAATTATTGAAAATGGACTCGACAAAACGAAGGCTTCGGTACTATTTGTTAGCAAACACTTCCTCAGAAGTGGACCCTGTCAGTTTCTATTAGATAATGCACTCTGGAAGTACATGATAACAAAGGGAAAATATCGAGTGATTCCAATCATTCTCGACAAATGTAAAGTTCCTCGGTGTATGCGGGTCTTGAATTGTATTCATTGTTGGAAATATCAGCAGAAAATGCAAAAGTATGACACAACGGTATACGAATGTCTGATGCAGCTGAAAAATAGATTTGTGAAGGCACTGAAAGGTATATGTAGTAAACATTCATAAAATCATAATTATGATTACCTTAGAGTAAATGAATTCACTCGGAACAAGTGTACATAGTTTTTTAGATTCAAAGTTTATTTAAAAAGGTGATGCAAGTCGTGTTAACTGAATGTATTATGAAAAGGAATATAAATTTGACATGTTTCTATTCATATTTTAATTCATGTATTATAAAGGTCCTCGCCTAACATTCCGTAGAATCCAACTGAGAGGTGTTAAAGTTTACAGCAATGGAAAAAGAATCCTTCGACGTCTTCGAAATATCATGAAAAGGGATCGTATTCTTGGAGAAGAAAGAGATTCTAACCCACTCCTTGGGTTTCTAAGACTTGTAAATGTAAGCAAACATTGTATACTGACTTGCAAATATGGCGACTGTTCCTTTTCCTGCAGCGGAGAAAACTTTAGAAAGCTTGAAAAGCATCTCCAAGAGTGTTGGTATATACCAATTCAGTGTCCAAACAGACTGTGTCCCTTTACGTCCAGGAGAAATATCATGAAGACGCATTTGGAGGAATGTAAATTTTCCATAGAAAAATGTCCAATAGAAAATTGCATCATCCAGACGCAGCGGCAAAAAATGGCCTCACATGTACGTGCATGTCCAAACAGGCTGGTTACTTGCATCAACGAATCCTGTGGATGTACTACGGTTGTGCCTTTCAAAAACTTTAAGAAGCATCTTTCAGTATGTCCCTGGTCGCCTCAACTTTGTGAGACTTGTGGTGGGATGTACTTGCGAAAAGACCAACAGAGACATGATTGTCCCTTAGCTGTCAAAGAGTGTCCACACTGTGAGAAAACATTTGCAAGGAAGGATTTGATCAAACATCTTCAATTATGTTTTTCTCAGTGCAAAAGTTGCAGTGAATGCTTTAGTAAATCTGAGTTCAGGCATCACTTATGTCCCATAAGGAAATGCGGATACCAGTATTGTGACTATAAAGACACACGCTTAAGGGTGGAAGCACACATGATGAATTGTCAGTATAAGCCAGTTGAATGTACTCGTTGTGGAAAGTTCTTTCCGTTGAAGTCTTTTAAAATGCACCAGACAGAGTGTAGGAAAATCATTGACTGCAAGAGGTGTGGAATCAAAATTTACAGGTAAATTAAATATATAAAGGATACTATAAGATTAAATACATCTATTTAAGAAATAAAGCCCGCGTTATCGTGAACGTTGCAGGATAACCTCCGAGGTCGAGAAATAATGTCCGAAATATAAAAGCCGAGGCGTTTGACATGTGTTTCTGATCTGATAATTTTTTGATGACGTTAGTGATTTATTGGAGAATAAAGTCCGCGGCATTTCTTTGGTCTCGTCGATAACGGTGGTAGAATTTATATCCTTAGACTATTTTTATGATTTTTTTTCTGTCAAATTTCTTTCTAGCACTTCTACGAATATATAATTATTTTTGTGCCAAACGTAAATGTATAACATCTGATTCATTAAAATGAAGAATCTGAAAATGAATGAAAATACTTTTTATCAGGGATTCACAGTTGACGCATGACCTTATGTTGTGTACAGCGAACGAAACTCGGTCCTCATGTACACTTTGTGAGAGACTCATTAACAATGGGGTAATTAAAAACGCTTACCAGATGGAACAACATCATGGTATGCATGGTGAAGAGTCATCAAATCTACGTAAAGACAAGAAAATCCTTAAAACGGAACCATCAGTAAGTCACAATTTTTTTTCTGTAAACAGTTTTCATGTGCGTATTTTATTAATTAGAAATATTTCCCGATTTTACAGATCGATGAATTAATTGACGCAGATTCAACGGAAGAATGTTCCTTGAAAAAAGAAGCAATGGATAACGAAGTGTGTTTGGAATATCTTTGTCACGTTTACCATTATACTGGTGATATTGATAGAGGAATCGGGATACCTCTAAGACGAAGTGACTCTCACTGTAAAGAAAGTCGTGAGCGTTTTAGAAAATTACTACAAGTGATTGATTATAATCAAATGGACTTGAAACAGTATTTTAAAGAGAGACGATATGGTCGTTTTAGTCTGTCATAGCCCGCATTTTCGAATGCAACAGTCAAACAACTAAAATGCATAGTAAGATGCATGAAAAGTTTAAGAGGGAACTTTGCTTTCATATTTAACAGAAAATAATAAGAAGACTCCAATGATTGAACATATGGGTATTTAAAATTTTTTTGGCGACATATTTGAAAACTTTCTTAGTAATTTCTAGACTTATGTATCTGATTTCACCTACTGCACATTTGTTTTTTGTTTTTTTTTGGGGGGGGGGGGGAGGGGGGGTAGAGGAGTCTACTTTTTTTGATTCACCATTTTGTATGATTCTTCTTTGTAACTTGATAAAATATGTTATTTGGTCATCTTTAATCGGGATTTTACTTGTTTAGGTCACCTGAGTCACATAGGTAACCTAATACAATCTGTGTTCGCCCGTCGTCGTCCGTCTTTCAAAAGTTTCAAACATTTTCAGCTTATTCTCATAAACAGCTGGACCAATTTCAACCAATTCTGGTATAGAGCATCTATGAGCAAAGGAGAAGAAAACATGAATTTCATAGTCCACCAATGCATTTTTCACAAATCCTCTTTACTTTTTGACATCAAGAAGTCAAACTTTTGGCATTATCATAGGTCAGGGGTTCTGGTGTTAGGACGGGGCTCTATTGATTATATAGTGAAAATGCATTAATTCTTTGTAAATATTCTTCTCTACTCTTTGGTATTTTGCAATCATACTACGGACATGGTAATGATGAACAAGGGTGCCTCGTCCAAAATTGTGAATTTCACCTTCCCTGGGTCAGGGTCTCTGATGTTGGGTTGGGGTTCTAGCTGTTGACTGTATAGTTGTCATGTTGTAAATTTTGAATTTACTAGGGGCAGGTAAATGCAAAATTTACAACATGATATAGATTTTGCATTTACCTCCCCCTGGTAAATTCAAAATTTACAACATGATATAGTGAAAATGCATCAATTTTTTGAAAATCCTTTTCTTTGCTCCCGGGTATTCAACAGATAAACTAAGCATAGTTATGATTAGCAAGGATGCCTCTTCCAAATCTGTGACATTCTTGGCCCCTTGCTCAGGGGCTCTGGTTCAGGGTGAGACTCCATTGATTATATAGTAAAAATACATTAATTCTGTAAAAATCTAGGAGGAAAACAGAGTACAAAGTTGTGATGAGCAATGGTATTTTTATCAGATTTGTGAAATTTGTTATTAGAGGTACTTCAAAGACCAAGAAAGGCCAATCTGAGAGAGTGTGAGATAAATTTATGTGCTCAAGCACTATTGTTTTGTCTACATGGTTATAGTGACAATTGGGAGAGTATTAACACTGGCATGTACAAAAAAGTAAATACCTCTGATTTTATAATTTGTTACTGAGTACAACATTATGTTGTTGATCAGTTATCATCCTATTTCTCTTGTTTTGGGGCAACATATCTTCATCTTTTAGTTTATTTTGTTTTATTTACTTCTGTGGATCATTTATAGTGTTGTGTTATGCTCAGGTGACTTTTTAAAAGGTATTTGGCTTTATGTGAAGTCTTGATTTACATTGAATTTAATTCAACTTTCATTTTACAGGGTGTTTCAACAAATATGTCCCGACTTTTGATGTCTATATTTTTGCACAATAATAAAATATTAACAAAATTATAACTGTATTTTATAGTACATTTTCCGTTAATATAATTGTAATATAAACAATATAAAATAACATCATTTAATTTTTTCCATAGAAGTTTTGATTACATCTTCAAAAATCAGGTTGTCAGATTTTTTACTCCAAACATGGATCTTTGAATGTTTTTGAACTAAACAATACAAACAGATGATCTCCAAAATCACCAATACTAGTGCATAAGATTTTGAAAAAAAGAAGTTTTCATATGAAAACCATCTTTCTAGGAAACAGACTTTTCAAATGATGTCAAAATATATGCCACACAGGACCCAGAGACAAAATGCTGATTTAGAAACATTGTGGCTTTTTCGAACTCATAAAAAATGAGGTTAAATCGAAAACTGCTGCTGATCTTCAAAATATAAAAATGCCCGTCTTAAAAAATAGTTGATTCAGTATTACCTAAACTTTCATATTGATGAAATTGTTTGGTTATGTGGTTTTCATTTTTTGCAAAAAAATCTTACATTAATACTCTCTAACTTTATATTGAAACCGCAAAGTCGGGATATATTTGCTGAAACACCCTGTATTTTAAATTTTAAATAGTAAAAAGACAAAAGTTCGGCGATTGAGATGTGACTTATTTGGGGGTATCACGGCGATCGTTGTATTTCTTGTCATAGGCTTCGTGTATAAAATGTCTAAACTTAATATTTGTTCTTTTTGCTACAACATTTGAATCTATACAATCTATAATATATGTGTTATCTATCTGATGTTTTCTTCAGTTTTGAACGGAACATCAAAGAGTATTATCTAAGATAAAGATAATTAAAGAAAAATGTATTGTTATTTTAAAAAAACAAGATTTAAAACTTCAAAACTTCAATAAGATAATAGTGTTACTGACAGTACTGAGAGTTTAACTTGTGTTGCACTCCATTTGCATTAAAAAAAACTTAATGTTCAAAAAATATTAATCTTAAATTTATTTTTTACTCTTTGAGAACTAATAGACTTCTTAAAGGTAGAAAACATGCAATAGGCACTGGTTTTTTATTTTAAGAATTTCAATGATGGTATTCTCAATAGGAGTTGGAGTTGAAATAGGTTCAATTGAGACAATGAAGATATGACTCATACGTTACTTTTAACAGAGTCCCCACGTATTCATAAATTAAGAATGTCAATGACGAATAAATGTTTTGTTTAGTAAACTATTGATTTCTGCTGACCAATATTCCAAATGTTTCCTTGAGTATATTGTGCTGTATAGTTGAAGACCGGAATTGATTAGTAAATAATATGTACAGATCGTGTTACTAGTAGATGGATTGATATGAAAAACAGGCTGATTGGATGTGCCTAAATTCCATAGAAATATTTATAATAAAGTATGTTCTTCCTGCAAGGAAACATTTGCAAGTTGCAAAGATCATATCGAAGAACGAAATACACGAACATGTAGTGGATATTTATGATTGACAGATCATTCAGTAAATTAATTATTTCACCAAAAATTTGACAATTTTCCCTACAAACAAAGAATGGTCATGTTATAGCTAAGCAAATTGAAAAGAAAAGGTCTCAAATACTATAAGACCTTACACAGGCCACGAATCATTTTCACTTCGTCAGTATTAATAAGCTCCAAATGTTATAATGGAGTTATAAAAACAGACACACTATTCATGCATTCCTGACAAGCAGTTTTGTACTTTTATAAGGGGCACATCCATGTATGCGAGTAATACTTAAAATGAGTAAGCATACTATACCGCTAAGTGAGATCTGCTTTTTGTGAGAGTTACAGATTGCTTTCAAGTATACACAAACTTATGAATACATGATGGCGTTCTATTAATCATTGCTTCCTTGTTAAGTGTTAAAACAATTTAGTTTTAAAAGAAAAGTATCGTTATACTATGCTAAGACGACGACACTGGGTATTATACAACGCTGTGACGACGGCATTGATGGAACGCCATAGCTGCCTTATGTGGTTACTTCATGAGAAGATGGTGCTTTTTTATGTTATGCTGTGGTTATTTCATGTGAAGATGGTGCTTTTTTATGTTATGCTGTGGTTATTTCATGTGAAGATGGTGCTTTATTATGTTATGCTGTGCTTATTTCATGTGAAGATGGTGCTTTTTTATGTTATGCTGTGCTTATTTCATGTGAAGATGGTGCTTTATTATGTTATGCTGTGCTTATTTCATGTGAAGGTGGTGCTTTTTTATGTTATGCTGTGGTTATTTCATGTGAAGGTGGTGCTTTTTATGTTATGCTGTGGTTATTTCATGTGAAGGTGATTTTTCATGTGAAGGTGATTTTTCATGTGATGGTGGTTTTTTATGTAAAGGTGGTTTTTCATGTGAAGGTGGTTTTTTATGTGAAGGTGGTTTTTCATGTGAAGGTGGTTTTTTATGTGAAGGTGGTTTTTTATGTGAAGGTGGTTTTTCATGTGAAGGTGGTTTTTTATGTGAAGGTGGGTTTTTTTTCTATTTAATGTGAAGGTAGTCACTCTGAACTCCTCATTTTTTTTTTTTTTGAAGGTTTAATACTGAGTCTAACAGCTATTATCTCGAAATTTTTAAAGCAAAACAAATAGTCGATGTAATTAAAATCATTTTAATACACCATTGCTAGTTCCTCTTTTTTCCGTAGGCACTTGGTTTCAGGATGGAGCATTTTGTGTGTTATGTTACTTTCTAGGTGTGTTTGAATACACTCGAAAACATAAAAATAAAAAAAAATCACTGAAATTAACACGTTTTAAAAATGTCATATTACTGTATATAATAGGAGTGTACATGTGTAGGTACGACAGTTGCCATCTTTGGAAAATCTAGAGTGGAAAGAAACCGCGCCAAACTTGTTCTCTCTAGACTTTCCGTGTTATGGACGCCTCTACATTTTACAAGGTTAAAAATCGTCACTTCCATTGCTTTCACTATCAGGATGTTTTTGTTTACTGCATATTTCATACGGCAAGTTCAAATTGGCAGACGATTGAAGGGCGTTATTCAATCAATTTTAAATGTAGATTTCACCCGAAACTGGTAGGAAAAGTGTAGATATTGATTAAAATCAAGTGTGAACGAGCCGGGTACCCCGTAAAATCGAAGATTGCAACTCTCATACCTTCACTCTTTTTTTGTATACAGTAATATTACATTTTTAAAACGTGCTAATTTCAGTGATTTTTTTTTTATTTTTATGTCATCGAGTTTATTCAGAAACAGCTAGAAAAAAAAACATAATACACAAAATACACCATCCTGAAACCAAGCGCCTATGGAAAAAAGAGGAACTAGCAATGGCGTGTTAAAATGATTTTAATTATATTGTCTATTTGTTTTACTTTCAAAATTTTGGGATATTAGCTGTTAAACTCAGTCTTCAAAAATATTAGGAGTTCAGAGTGACTACCTTCACATTAGATATAAAAAAACTACCTTCAAATAAAAAACCACCTTCACATAAAAAAACCACCATCACATGAAAAACCACCTTCACATAAAAAAACCACCTTCACATGAAAAACCACCTTCACATAAAAAACCACCATCACATGAAAAACCACCTTCACATAAAAAACCACCTTCACATGAAAAACCACCTTCACATAATAAACCACCATCACATAAAAAACCACCATCACATGAAAAACCACCTTTACATAAAAAACCACCTTCACATGAAATAACCACAGCATAACATAATAAAGCACCACCTTCATATGAAATAACCACAGCATAACATAAAAAAGCACCACCTTCACATGAAATAAGCACAGCATAACATAATAAAGCACCATCTTCACATGAAATAAGCACAACATAACATAAAAAAGCACCATCTTCACATGAAATAAGCACAGCATAACATAATAAAGCACCATCTTCACATGAAATAACCACAGCATAACATAAAAAAGCACCATCTTCACATGAAATAACCACAGCATAACATAAAAAAGCACCATCTTTCTATGAAATAACCACATAAGGCAGCTATGGCGTTCCATAGCATTGGGTGTTATACTATGCTGTGACGACGGCACAGGGTGTTAAACTATCAAAAATTTCAAAATATACCATACATTCGTGGATCGCCAGTAAATTCCTTTTCGGTCCTACAGGTATAATTGTGGAACACTCATATCTAGGTATTAAATATTTTTTGCACTCATTTTTGCAGTAATTTGGTTTTTAATACATGTATATAAATAAAGAAGAAATATTAGAGTATGCAAAATTTTAGAATGAAACGGGTCTTAATTTGGTAACAAGCAAAATGCCAATACTTATGTATAGATTGAAGTTTCATTCTAGTCATTAAGTTATGTAATTATCAGGAATTGTTTCCATAGAAGTATACGTTACAGTAGTAGTCTTTCTTCGGTTTGTTTTGAGCATATTGAGCATTATACAAAAGTTTTACATGCATATTGAAATAAGGAGAAGACGTAGTATTGACAAAAGGGGTTACATTACATTACTAACAAGCACAAGCACTTTTTAAGTAGAACAGATGTGTTCTGATTTCGCTTTGCATGAGATATTCAAGTAGAAAATGAGTTTTAAAAATAGACTTAAGGCTAAATGGGAATTTTGATAATGCAAAATGGGAATTTCCTTTTTGTAGTCGTATCAAAAAATATCACAATTATCAGTGGTAAAAGACTTATTTCAGGAAATGTTCAATTCATATGTAATGGAAATAATAATTAAACGTCTATTCAAAATTACAAAATAAATGAAATGCTTCTTGTATGTGAAATAAAAGTATAAACACCTTAAGTTTTTGTTTTGTGTTTGGTGAACCCCATCCCAAAACATCACGACTTGTGACATTGGAAGCGTTCTTTTTGGCGCTAAGGAAATGCCGAGTGGCCTTATTTTGCACATTTCTTTTATTATTGCGTATTTCTTTCCTCCAGATCCCAGCTCCTTAGTACATAACTGGTTCCACAAGGGATTCGTATAATTTAAGTATTAGTATACTTTTACTTATTTATTTAGAGTGCTAATTGTGCTCTGCTTGTCGACTTGCTGGATTCCGAAACAGTAAAAGTGAAGTCTAGATGGTTATCCAGCCAGAGGTCCAGGTACCGATAACGCCTTTCAAAGTGGATGATGGTTGTGCTGCAATGAAAGGTATAGTTGAAGGAGGTCTTGATTGAAGTTGGAAGTACATTACTTCGGTTTTGTCGTTGTTAATGGATAATCTCCATTTTCGGTACCATTCCTATAGATAACTCGTGTTAGGAATCAGAATCTGCAACCTACCTGTAGTTTGTACCATCTAGTGTTGCAAAATTCATATATGCCGCATTGAACATTTTCTGAAGGGTTTCCCTCATTTGGAGCTATCAAAGCAACATCATCAGCATAAAAGCAATATTGATGCTATTGATACTATTGATTATACTGATACTTGAGTATTGTTAACTTGTACCCCACAATTTAGTGCGTTTATTTCCTTAGCCAAATCATTGATATATGTTGCGAACAAATATAAGTGCACCATTAGTACTTTAAGTTTAAAGCATCATAGAGAAAACTTAAGGATTTTAAAAAAATAAAATACATTTAAAAATGTATGAGCCAAATACTAGAAATATGCAGTTCAAACGTCTATCTACAAGCAGTATAGTCATAACCCATGTTTTTTAAATATTTTTTTTAATTTAATGACGTGTTGACAGTTATTTATCCTGTTTCATACACCATTCGCCACATAAGAAATGAAACAGTTACAGTATTTGATAATATAAGAGTGGAATGGCTATAAGCCATCAGAACATTTTCGAAAGTCGTGTAGTTTCTAAGGGAAATAATACCAAAAGCAGACGGAATTTTTCATACATAAAAGTGGACATTTAAGGTTTCAAAAAAAATAAAATCAATAAAAATTGGAACCAAATATTTGTGGATGATGCTATATTTAAAAGTTCATAAATTTAAATAATATGATAAAAATATTGATACTGTTCTAATATTTAAATGGGAGATAATTTATATTTATATACTTATAGTGTTTAAAATCACATTTTTTACTTTATTCACTCTGCAGTTTACATGTATGCTGCTAATTTCTATATGAACAATTATACAATTGTTTTTATTTTTATGATATGATTATCTTTCAGAGTGCAAAAATAATATTTGATGGGAAGTTTTTTTAAACAGGAAATATTTACTCGATTTTCACGCGCATTCTTTCTAAATTGGGGAAAAGAAGGCAAATAATAATAATACACACAATGTGCAATAACTATGCTTTAATTTGCAGAAGGAAGTTCTATAAAGGTTAACCCATGTTACCACCAGTTCTATTGTGTGGAAAAAAATAATAACAAAAATTGAATAAATCAGTGTTTTATTTTATTCACCATTGATTTTAAAAAGCAACCAATGATGGATTTCAAAATTAAGAAACCCTCCCTTTTTTGAGGATGTGTGTGTGTCATGTAACTATATTTGTTTGAAAGAGGTGGAGTGGGGTCATCCGTGCATCCTGGTTTACATACATTTGAGCACATGGTAATTTGAATAAAAGAATAAGTAACTCCATATGCCATAACAAAATTAGCCAATATTTAATTCTATTCACATTTTAATCAATGAAAAATGTTTCTCGGGCTAACATTAACACATTTCATGCATTATAGTCACAAATAAAACAAGTGTGTAACATTGCATTGACACATGTGGTTTATAGATTTATATGTACATTGAGATCTACAGAGTTTATCACTGTCTCAACATCAGTGAATGGAAATATAACATCTTAGTTTAGAGCAAGATGGTTCTTTTTCATGAATCCTACATCTAATCGAGGTTAAAAGTAACCATCATTGACAGAACACTTACTTTGTAAGAGCTATAAAATTTCTATAAGAAGCAAATATATCTCGATATAGTGTTTCCTGAAATTTTGATAATTTTTTATAAAAATATTGTGAAAATAAAATATTCAAAGTTTTTTAAATATCAATTTTTTGTCAAGGGACAATACTTTTTACTTTCTTATGTTATGTACAGTTATCATGAATTGCTTACCATTTACTTTGTATGATTTTTGTCGATTGCCTATGTTCAGAATCGGTGGTTTTGAAAACAGAAAGCCTATTGTAGATGTTTATTATCAAAGGATTGAAAACTAGTGAAACGTCTGAAACACTGAGTTTTCCAATGTCTTTTGTTTCGCATGGGACAAAAAATATTGGAAAAAGGAAAGGAATTCAAAATAGGGGAAGAGCTTGTAGGCTTAGGAAAGTAGCCCCATTTTTCTACAATCAGTGTTCTTCTTACAGAACAGATATTTAAGCCTTTTTTGATCTGTAAATGTTAGTTTACTAGGCCTACCTACTCTTTCCTTCACTGAGTTCCTCTTCTTTTTCAATATTTTGTACCACACAATACAAAGTAGACAGTGAAATACTAAGTGTTTCAGAAATATTACTAGGTTTTACAATTCCTTGATAATACATATCTTGAATAAGATTTCTATTCTCAAAAGCACAAAACCTGAACAACAGTGGACAAGAGAAAGTATATAGAATAAATAGAAGAATGTCCATGAAAACTGCATGCATTGTAAGAAAGTAAGGTGTATTGTCATTAGAAAAAAGGTAATATTAAATATGTTATTATTCACTATTTTAGATAAAAATATTTTTTTTAAAAATTCTCAATAATTTCTTGGAACACTATATATAGGTAAACATATTGAACAAAAGGTTCACAAAACATAATCAAATTTTCATGAAACAGTAATAAGGAAAGAGACATAGGTCTTTATAAAAATGTAACTAAGGCCAAAATACTTAGGTCTGTATTGAATAACCAGAGTCTATGGAATCATAAAAATCTTCCTTATCCTCTGGTGTTATCAGTTTAGACTTCTCTGTTGGGGGCTTTAAAGCCGCCATCTTCTTGTATCGTCCATTCAAGGATCCTTTCTGATTAAAAAAAAACAGTAAATGAATAAAATATGATCGTACAAATTATATACAAAACCTATCCTGAACAAATAGAAATATATAGATAGTTGTATTACATCAAAACAAAACATACCTTTAGTTTTTCATTGACATTAAGCCAGATTCCAAGCACAGTACAAATAGAGGCCTGACATAATAAAATTGTCAGTGCAATTTTCCAGTCGGTTAGTCTGTTGTTCACATCAGATCTTTTAAACAGAGGTTGTTATATAATTTTAAGATATATATATATATTATATATATTGGCTAAATTATTTTCGAACAAAAAAGCACAATTTAAAACATTCAGATGCATATTTAATAAGTACATAAAGATAAAAAAAAAATTTTTTGCTATAAAATTTGCTAATTTTTACATGAAAATATTAAGTAAAATAATGTACATTTCTAGATCTACTGACTTAAAACGGTTACTTACTTCTCAACAGACCCCAGAATTTTACCAATTCCAAGGTTAGTCATGCCAATATTTAACCCCTGCATAAAGGCAGCTATGCCATTCGCAGTCCCAACAGTTGCAAGGGGGACAACTTTAGCAATGGATGGCCACAGACTCACCTTAAGGTAAAAATGTGGATGATTTAGTAGATTTATTATTTCTTAAGGAAAAATCTACCTATACATGTATCTATAAATCTTCATATCTTGATAACTGCAGTTATTCGACGTTGCACAAATTAGAAAAGTAAAATTGTTTTATATCAGATCAGAGGTAGGCCTCTGGTCAGATTTAGAAATTGCTATTCTCAAAATAAAGAAAATACCAAAAATATTTATTTTGACATTTAAAAACGAAAGAAATTTATAAATTCGATTTTGTTTTCATAATAGTTAGGAAAATTTTATCAAATAATAAAAAGTATATACCACTGTGACGGAATAGAAAGTTCCAAAACAAATAGTAAGTATAAGGGGAGGTAATTCAAAGAATGCAAGTGAAATAATAACAGGAACACAGAGTGCCGCCCCAAGAGTTGACGAGATTGCTCTTCCTCCAAATCTGTCCTAAAAACAAACGGAAACAATCAGCACAGCCCTGATCGACGAAAGATAAGTGAATTAACACAATTATACTTCAATTGTTTAGTCAAATTTGAACCTAGTGGATGAATTCTTCAAATGCAATCATTTGGCATATAACAAGAGTATGCACTCAAAATTAGATATCAGTACTTAAAGTGGTTTATTTTGAGTGTAAAAGCACGAAATGTGTGGTTACTCCTAAGTGTGTCTATAATGTTTGTGAACATTGCTTTTCCACTTGCTTCAAGGGTATTTGTATCTTTGCCCAACCGGAGACCTTTATTCTTGCTGTATATGTGGAGGGGAGCGGATCAAAAACCCTTGACTTGGGAAGATGGAACGAGTTTTGATCTTTCTATTAAATCAAACAAATATTTCTACTTTCACATGAAAATTACTATACTTAAAAAAATTATCTTTAATTTAAAAATTTCTATTCTTAAAAAAATTATCTTTAATTTTTTCTTTATTTTATTTCTTTATTTTTGTAAAATAATGTATTCGTGTATTCAATGATAATAATGGAGACTTTTTCTTAGTGCATAATCTTCAATTTGTGTTGCATGATTCTTTCAGAACCCACATATTGGGCTCAACTATAAATGCATAAGAAAATCTTAAACCCTCTTGCAAACTTTTACAGTAGTTTACAATTTACAGATAAGCAAGTCTTGTTAATAAATTTAGTCACAATAAACAATGATTTGTGAAATTCTTACGAGAAATAAGCCGGTGGTAATGCACACAACAATGGATACATCATAAACAGCTCCATTTATATATGACGATTCCACACGGGAATATCCATACTTGTCCTGGATGAATTTGCTGGAAAAAATAGTGTAAGTTGACAATATCTGAGTGAAGCAAAAGTATTTATGGAGGGATGCAAAGTACTCAAATTTAAATCGTCCTAAGTATATAAAAAAACTTTAAAAAGAATCAATAAATCTGAAGACTCCAGTGTCGATATCCTTTGATAAAGTTTGTAATGTAGATACTAGTTAAATGTAACAAAATTGAAGTTGCATCAACGATTGTCACTTAAATCTGGCTTACCTCCCATTCGCCACGTATGGAATGAAACAGCTATAATATGTGGAGATCATAATTGTGACGAGCCAATAGGACAAAGGGAAATTTCTAACATCGCTTAATTTCTGCGGGGAAAAAAAGGATACATAATGTAACTTTTCACACACACACACAAAAACATTTTGATTTATCTTGATATCAAAATATGTCTGAACATCAAATAGATTATATTCAGTCATAAATCGTATTGAATGATGTAGTTAACTTCTTTATTTCCCATTGACATGTTTAAAGTCAAAATCGTATACACTGTATAACAAAAACCAGAAATTTTTGTATGTTTTTTTGGTATATTGATATATTGACTCACTATTGGTGAACATTTGTTTCTGAACACTTGGTATATGTATTGATTCATTACAATAGTTTTTGCGTCAAAGTGATGAAGTCAAATAAAGTGAATTCACATATGAAAATAGGGTAAAACATATGCTATGTGTAGAACATGTGATAAAAAGAATCTCCCATTGGTTTATGATTGGATATGATTTTTATCCAACTGTGTTGAGATTCTTTTTATCATATGTTGTACACATAGTTATTTCATGTTATACACTTTTTTTAAAGCCACAATATTTGACTTGATCAAATTCACGCAAAAGCCATTGTGACGTCACGGTCGTGGATATGAAAACGATATCCTATGAGCTATATCCATAGTTTGAAGGAATAAACATGTGTTAAATTGATATATTGACTCACTTCTCGTGGAGATTTGATGTTGAACACATGCTGTATATTGATATATTGACTCACTACTGGTGATATGATATATTAACTCACTCCTGGTGGAGATTTGATGCTGAACACATGATATATATTAATATATTGACTCACTTCTGGGGAGATTTGATGTTGATCACATGATATATATTGATATATTGACTCACTTCTGGTGGGGATTTGATATATAATATTGACTCACTACTGAAGGAGATTTTATAAATTGACTCACTATTGGTGGAGATTTGATGTTGAATACATGAGTTTTGTCCAGTTTACGGCTTCCAATTGCGTCTAAAACGCAGTACCCCACTGCTGCCATAAACCCAACACCGCACATTAATGCACCTGCAAACAGATAGTCAATACACTCATAAACTGAGTCTTTGATGTTATAAAATGTTTGAAATTTAAATTAAAAGTTGTGTGTACCTGTCCAAAGTGCCATGGGAACCCCATAAACCTTTGCAATATTGGACGTGATAAAAAAATTCAAAACGTTGCCACATCTTATGACGCTCACAATGGCTCCAAAGGCTAAACCCAGTTTGTCCGGAAACCAATAGGCAATAACTCGATCTTGAACAACTATCATTTAAGTAAAAAAGCATTTCAAATGATCAAAGGTTATTATAATTATCTATGGATGGTTAAAAAATAACGGATGATTTTTCCATTGATGCCATATATATGAAAGGATTACAATATAAAGACTACTGAGAATTACATGTATATATTATATGTAAAAGGAGAGGAGAAAAATGCGAGGGATTCGAACTCGGGCCCCCTGAATTTACAGTCAGGTGAGCAAACAACTGATCTTGCCAACAGCGATCAAACCCGTCTGACCGCCACATTCCTCCCTCCTTTAAATGTTAAAGGCCCAAAGACACCAACCCTAGCTCTTCCCTGGCAGGTATTTCATCTGTCACTTCCAGGGCATGGTACGGCACCAAATGTAACAGAAAAAGAGAAAAATGACCGGGATTTGAACCTGGGCCCCCGGAATCTCCAGTCAGGTACCAACTGACCTGTCTGGCCACCGGCGATCGAACACGTCTGACCGCCACAAATATATTAGATTACTTACAGTATATATAATTTGTTAGTAAACATAAAGCCTTGCATTACATGTACATGTGAGCGGAAAAAATCATTGATTAATGTTATGGATTACATACGTTGACATCCTCCATTTGCGGCTCCCAAAATTGCTCTAGAAACGATCATCATTGGAAACATGGCCGACGTCATCTTAAACCACGACGTCACAGACAGGGCAAATAAAGACGAACCGATGGCGGCCATTGATGTTGACAGAATTGCTGTCACTTAAAAGCAAAAGAAAGAATGATTTTACTTAATATTTTAATACTTACAGATTTAAAAGTAAATATTTTTGAAAATTATAATTGAAAAATATAATTTTTAAGATTCTTCCTACTTCTGTTTCCTATTCGGTCCAGTATAACCCCGATAGGCAAAACGATTACAGCGTTTCTAAAAACCAAGATAAAGTTTATGTTCACTATATAATAACAACATCTCTTTACAAATAAGACTTTAATCAATTATCTATGCAGTGCATATGTACTCTGTTTCTGTTACAATTATGTATACATTTAGATAAAACGTACGTCCATGAGAAAACAGCATAGAGTTGATTGTAATGATCTGGGCCGATACCGAGACATTCCTCACAACAAGTCACATTCTTCTGTACACCACTACAATTTACCTGTATCAAGATTTTAATTCATAAACAACATCTCAATTTTTGTACATAATAGCAATAAATTTACATTAACTTTATAATTCAAATTAAAATACTTATTATTTAGCAATGCTCCTTTGTTACGACATGCACGTGTTCTGTTGTACCTTGAAAAACCTGTCTGTTTTATGTTGAGAGATGAATAGTGTATTTTCAAAGAAATAAAATATTTCAATTTGATTACATGAGAGCTCTGTAGTTCTGTTTGTAGAGCACTGGGAATATCTACACAATAGAAACATCCGAAGGCAATGAGACAATCACATGCAAGCAACAAGTATCGACATCCCCCTGAAATAAAAGTAGTAAACTACATAAAATGTACATAGGAAATGAATGAAACGTTATTTGGGCATTTTTTTTATTATGATTATTTTTTTTTGAAGAGGTAACTTAGATAAATCTGCTTCTTCAAGGACATTGAAATTTAGTCTGCATCCAAGGTCTTTGTTATCACGCTGGTACAAGTGGTCAGTTATCATATCTCGGTTAAATGGTCACGTGAATGTCTCCACGACAAGTTATAGTAATTAAAAGTGCAGAAAGTAAGGCATAACGATAATATTGTCTATACATAGATACAAACAGGGGTTCAATGTCGATATCAACTCTGAATATCATCGTGTCTGAATTTAAGATTTTCCCTCAAAATATTTTGATACTTATAGTTTATTAAACGTGATTTAATTTCATTAAAGAAATGTTAGTAGTCTAGAAAAGTAAGAAAACACAAAAGAAATTTTTCATTTTTTATTCATATTTAAGTTCTATCCAAAGCATGTTTTTCATGATTTATATGTAGGTGGTGCATTCTAAACATGTATAGACGACAGGGAAAAGATAGTAATAATAAAATGTAAAACACTTCTTGATATTATGAGATGCAGAATGCATAGGCACCTGTTGTTTTAAATATTGTTTTACCCCATAGAATATGATAATAATACAAGGCATCTAATCTTAAAAGTACAGGGTGTCCCAAAATATATGATACCATTTGAAATACCTGCCACAAACACGTCCATTGGCTAATTTCTTTGATATATGTCTCTTAAAATATATGAATAAGTACAATTTTTTAGATAAATTTTTGTAGAAGAGAATGGCAATAAACAGTTCGCCTTAGCATTTTCTTAAAAGTTCATAAATAAAAGATAACAAATTATGAGATTTTTTTTTCTTTTGGGAGAGAAGGGGAAGCTTCCTGACAACAAAAAATGATAATAATAGTCAAATTCTGAAACTTAAGTGTAGCAAAGAAAAATATTTCAGAAACAATTGTCTTTGGCAGAATGTCCTTTGTTATATTCATCTTTATTTTTAGTTTAGTCTAGATAGTATAAAATCGTTCACCTCATACTTGGTTCGTTTTTCTTCTGAATTCAATATAACTTATTACAGGATGAAGAAGTCACAGTGGTAAAATATACATGTTACTCTTTCTTCATATACAGCTTAACTCTCTATATTGGTGAACACAGGTACTTGTGGACAGGACCCCCTCCCCCCCTCCAATATGCCCCACAGGTCAAAAAATATTTTTATGTCCTTTTTTCATAAACTATTCTTCTAGTACACATTTACAATGTATTCCATAAGAAAAATCCAAAAAATAACGCAGAATTAACGTTTTACTAAAAAATCATACCCGCGGTATTATAAAATAGAGAAGGTAAGTCACTTCCATTTGTTTACACTGGACCCCTCTTGGCTATCAGGCCCGAAATATCATTATTATTATCATATACTATGGGGTAAAACAATATTTAAAACAACAGGTGCCTATGCACTCTGCATCTCATAATATAAAGAACTGTTTTACATTTTATTATTACTATCTTTTCCCTGTCGTCTATACATGTTTAGAATGCACCACCATAACGAACTGTGATCAATCTTAAAAGAATCCAAAAACAATACATACCTGTGGTAAGGGCATAAAACACGTACCTCTTGAAATTCCAGAGGTGGTAGTAAAAATCCCCTGTCGACCGGTCACACCCGCCGTGACCCATATGTATTGATCGGTAGAGGAAACATACCGTAGTCAAATCAAGCATAAAAAAGGGGCCTAACAGTTGGTATGAAACAACCAAAATACGAACCAGTGTGAGATTATATTTTAAGAGGGTCATTATGACGACCATAAAATGTACGAAATGTTGATTAAACAAGGTTGTTAAAATCTTTGTAACATCAACTTATCTCTCAGTAGCGTGCCTCTGTTTAAAAACTGATCGTACTCAGAGCATGCTCTTGAGTATCGAATAAGTAGGGAGACGTAAACACCATATATAGGTGATTGTGGAATATTACTACATAAATGAGGAAAGTTGACAATGAGAAAGCTGAAGTCATCTCGTTTGTCATACAATTGAGTTGTTAGTTGACCCTTAGCGTCTATAGTCAGTTAAACGTCTAAATATGAATCAGATGTGGCAGACTCTACTTATATGGTGTCTTTAATTCAAGAAAGACAGCAGAAATACCAGTTTATATTAAATAGTTACATAAAATTTCATTGATTTCTGAGTTCCCATTACTTTTATTACTACAACATTGATTTAAAATATACGGATATAGGACAACATGAAAATATCCTTATTTGTGTAATCAGCTATTGAGTTGTGTTTCTACTTAATTGTTATTACAAACCATCTTAGACAAAAGCAATTCTTCTGTAATTAACGGTGAAAATGTTATTTTTGTATACAAGAAACATGAGTTAATACTTACAGTTCGTTTGATCCATAGATGCAAATCGAACAATGCTCAAAAAACCTTCTAATTAAACCATAGTGATGATAGAAAAGGGGGACCTATTATGGCAAAAAAATCGCCGATATATGTATTTATACATATAAATCTAAAGGTATTATACTGATAACAGGTAGATACCCGCATTGTCGCTGATACACTGCTCCAATTAGTTAAGTTGACTGTACACCTTTGTAAGACTACTGAAACATTGTTCAACATTGTTTTCTAATTAGTCATCGTGTCAATGTTCCATCGATACTTTGTTACATATCAAAGTAAGTTTAAAAGATACATGGTATATCGCCATGGACGTAAGGTCATTGTATCTATGTCAAAATCCGACTTTTGACTTATCGGGTGCCTTAGTCGACTGTTAATTGATCTTCTTGCACGTCTTTATTCCTACTGGTTTAAATCTATAATGATCTACGCGAACTTATGCACTTGAGTTTGTACAATTTCTATATTTTTGGTTCACAATTACAGAATTTGGTATTTTTGTATGTTTTCTAAATGTTTCTTGTATCAAGTAGTAGCACCTTTTTAAAGCGTTTAACTATTTTTTCTATAAGATATATCGTGTTGTAAAATTTGGATTTAAATGTATGGAAGTAAATGCAAAATTCAAATTTTAGAAAATGATAGCATCCATAACAACAACATTGATAAAAAAAATTATATGAAGCGTTGGTTTTTTTTTTCAGAAATGATATTTATGTCAGATCATGATATGAAGAAATTTTAACACAGAGAATAGAAACAGTAATAATTTATTATCACAACATAAAATTAAAAAATATAAGGTATATATGAAAATAATATTTAGTGTCATATATACCTATTAAATTCATATTAAAGAACATAATAAAGAACTGCTTCCTTAATCAGAATATAACAATGTTATAAGTGCTTGTAAGAAAAGAATGTATTACATTCATTAGCAAGAGTTATCTTTCTTATGAATATTTTTTTTCAATGGGAAGAATGTACTACTAATAAAAGTCTTACATATGGTAGTTGATAAATGTGATTTTAAATTTTCTAAACTTTCTTTGGAGTTTTTGTGAATCCACATTTGATTAACAAATCAATTGCGCCCAGTAATTAGCAGACCTATTTTTGTATTCATATAAAGCAGAATTTATTCAAAATCTTATACATCAGAAGAAAACACTTGCTGTGGTCTTCAACTCGACATTCAGATATATCCACGACGTATTATCAATTAACAATAGTTACTTCCAGTCATATGTCGACTCGATATATCCCAGTGAGCTTAAAATAAAAGATACCATAGGGTCTGACACATCTGTTTCATATTTAGATATTTTACTAGAAGAAGAAGTATATAGTAAACTAGCAACAAAGCTTTATGATCAACGTGATTTCAACTTTTCAATCGTCATCTTCCCTTACTTATGTTGCAATTTACCCTTATCACCTATATATGGGGTTAATGTCTCTTAGTTGATTCGATGCGCAAGAGCATACTTTAAGTACGAACAATTTATAAAACGAGGCAAGCTATTGACAAACAAAATGATGAAACAAGAAAATCAACAGTTTCGTTTAAAGTCATCATTTCGCAAGTTTTATGGTCGATACAATGACCTTGTTAGCAAATACAATGTATCATTAGGTCAAATGCTAACTGAAGTTTTTCATACTTATTCTTAGGCCATTATTTACTCACTGGATTGTCTACGGATTTTTTCCGTTTTTCCCGATCATGACAAGGAGCACACAGCGGGTGTGACCGGTCGGCATAGGATGCTTACTGCTCCATGGCACCTGATCCCACTTCTGATGTTTGCTCTGCTCCTGATTTGTATTGTTTTATTAGAAGTTTGAGCTTGAATACTGTTCGTTATCTCCATATCTCATTTACACCACTTCTCGAAAATGCTGTAGCACATCATAATAATTGTATCAATTTAGAAGTTTTCAATCTATTTTTAGTCCAATGTTGAAAAAAAATAAAGAAATGCGAACGATAGTATTGTTCTCCCGCCTACCTCCAAGTCAATTTTCAAAAGTTAACACATTTGAATGATTTTTCATATGTATATAGATATTTATATGAATTTTCATAAAACATTACTTCTTTGGGAAAACAAAGAGAGATAACTCTATAATTTGGGTAAAACTTGTGTTTTTCACTATAGAAATCAACGGAAAACGGAAAATATTTTTAAAACATCTCTCCCCCTCCCCCCCCCCCCCCGTGAAACAAAAATTCCTATTTACAGGTAATGGCTCTAAATTCGCTCTTGAGTACATCTTGACCTATGATTTTAACAAGAGGAATATAAAATGAATTATTTAAAAAATTGACATAAGAAATGTTTTATATTGAAAAATATATTGCAAATATATAAAAGAGATAAAATAAGCAGATTTTTTCATCAACTTACTTTTTTTTTCTTGAAATGAATTTGATAATTCCACTAGAATTACGCATGTGTAGGGGGACATTTTCAACCATGTCAAAATAAAAGTCAAATATACGGCGATAATACCTTGTACACAGAATATCTTCATTCACTACTGTGTAGGAAGGATAAAATTAACATACAAAAGTATTTTAATGCACATTATGTCTCAAATAAAAGAAAAATTGAAATTTATTTCTTCTCATATTTTGAACGTAACGTCTGTCAGTCTCAATACACCGGGTACATTGTTATAAAATGGGCCATTGTTTATGCAAACTATTTTATCTTTCTTGTCTACTGATAGAAAATTTACCTGTTTATCAATTAAGTGATCGCGGATTCAACAGAAAAGCACGTGTACTTAGAAATTCCTGCGTCTGTCATGGCAAGTGGGCGTTACGTTCTATTTTAAGAATGGAGCTCGGAGATGCTTCTTCTTATACATTTTACTTAAAGGTTATGAATATTTAAATTTTCTCCAGTGTTCTATGCAAATGTGTTTACATTTCGATAAGAAGAGCTACAGAGAGAGCCCGAGAAGCCACGAACGTTTGTCTGTCAAGTGTTACGTTACACAAAGTATGTTACGTTCATGAGAATATAAGTTGTCTTTATCCTAGATTTTAAACACATATCATCAAATATTGTCAACTAGTAGGTGTATTTTGGATTCTTTTTTAAACAAGAGGCCCAAGGGCCTTAACGGTCACCTGAGTATAATACAACACTAAAGGATCTACGGAAGTATAAAACAAAATTAACTGATAGACGAAGCAATGTTGCTAAAGAATTTCAAACATAGGTAATCAAAGATTACGAAGCTCACCTCGACAAATGTTATCTATAAGTAAGGCAAATCTCACATCATATTTTTTTCTAGTTAGTATACATCCCAAGATCAATATCCATGCAAGTTTAGTTTAAGTAAGACTTATAGTTACTTGGAAAAAGACCTGCTCCAAAAACTTTAACTTGGTCACTCATCTGGAAAATCTAGGTCAGATCCAGCATTCGAAGCAAGTATGGTAGTGTCCATCCCTAGATGCATCATCCATGCAAGTTTGGTTCAGGTAGGGCTTATAGTTACTTGGGAGTGGACTTGCTCCTAAAACTTTAACCGGGACGCCAACGTCGGAGGTATAGCATGAGCTCATCTTGACTTCGTCGAAGTGAGCTAAAAATCTGGTAAAAATACCCTTGCTTATTGTAATGTGCTAGACCCGATTGATCTCCTTTGGATCATACTTGGTTTTCCCAAGTCTTACAGGGATGATAATGAATGCAAAATATACAAATACAAAGAACACTTGCCTATTGTGTAAGGTATTCAATATATACAGATATTTTTTTTGTCACTTGCCTAGTGCTACAATTCAGTACACACAGACTTGGGTATATACAACGTGGTTATTTGCCACTTGTCACTAATTACAATAAGTCACTCTGGCTCTCTGGGATTCTTTGTTCACTTTGATAAAGTATAAAACAACATCCAGTCTCCTGTCATCCACAACTCCTCTACAAGTGACACTAACTTAGATCACCACATAGTATGCACACTGTGTACAATTACAACTTTTGCTAAGTATATAAATAATCTTTATGTCAATCTTTTATACTGCTTTCCAGGCAAGAATCTGACTTTGAGCATACTTTGCTCATTTAAACCAAACATTCATTTTATTTTGTTTCTATATATATATAACATTCTTTCTTGTATTCTCATTCAATCAAATAACCTGTTAATTAAATTATATACAAGGATTTCTTGATTAACAATATTTAGCAAAGGGGAGTAACTCTCATTTGCTTCACATCACAATTGTGTACTTTGTCTCCTAGATAACCACAAGCAAAGAAAAGGCACATTTACTTACAATTTAATTTTGTTTGTTTTATTTGAACCAGAGACATTACATCTCGTAGGTATACAAAATATGTACATAAATATTTATACATAAGCTTTGCACAGGATAAGTGTAGTATATGCTATACAATATACATTACATGTGGCAATTACAAAAACAATAGCATTTAATGTATTATCATTTCTTACTGTACACTATTTAAAACATCATTTCTTAATTGATAAGAAAAATACAGAAATTTACCTAGGTTACATAGTTCTTTAGTATTTGTGGAACTCAGTAACTGTACTAATTTAAAAACTGATGGTTTTTTAAAATAATAACTCTTGATATATTTAATTCTTAGTTCTTCATATCGAGGACATTTTAATACAAAGTGAAATTCGTCCTCTATCTCATTTGATATACATATTTCACATTTTCTATCTTTTCTTTCTATGTTACAATACCTTCCCCTCTCTATCTTTAAATCATGCGCTGATAGTCTTAAACGACTAATAGGTATTCTATACTTTGAATGTAATGGTTTTCTTAAATACGTCTGTAGTACAACATTATCCACTACATGTTGATATAAAAAATATTTAGGAGAATTACAAATTCTTGCCATAATATCTTGTTTATAACCGTCATACATTCTTTGAAATACGATGTTCAAAGAATTATTATCAATACAATTGCTATTATACATGTCAGTTAAA